CAAATTGTATAGCTAACAGTCTGAAGAGATTCTCAGTCAACCAGGTCATGGCTGTCCCAAAGGTCCTTTCTCGGGAGGCAACTGGACTTTCTTGACCCTGAAGAATAGATAAACCTCCAAGTGGCCTCAACGACTCTCTAAAAAGGTTGCAAATAGAATAGCTTTCTTGTCACTTTGAATGCACACTAACGAGCACACATTAAAAATGAAATTGCAAGGCACATAAATCCTTCCATTCAGTCAGAGCTGAAGAAGTGTCTTTGGATGAGAAGCGAAACGTCTTCAAAGGAAAAAAAAAACCCCAGGAAGTCCAGTTGCCTCCTGGAAAAATAAATAAAAAGCACCTTTGGAATTAAAGGCAAAGCGGACTGCAAGCTTGCAAAGGGTTAACCGCTGCCTTTTGCATCGTCACGTGATCCGCGTCACGTGATCCAGCTTCCATCACAAGAGGGGAAAAAGTCACAAGTTGTTTTTCCCCCCCGCTAACTTCTTTTCCTCTTGCGGGAGACGATTGGCTGAGCCCGCCGGGGCCTTCGGATTGGCCCGAAGGGCAAGAGCAGGAGGCTGCAATTGGCTGCCAAGGAGGGAACGGAGAGCTGCGATTGGCCGAAACGGCCCGTTCGGAGAGCCCGACCGTGAATCGCTGGGGTGGAAGGGAAGAAGCCGGGATGGCCGGAGGGCGAAGCGAGAGGGTTGCTAGGCTGGCAGCGGCGGCACTCCTGGCGGCGATAGGCTTGGCCGCCGCGCTGGACAACGGGCTGGCTCGGACGCCGCCCATGGGCTGGCTGCATTGGGAGCGCTTCCTCTGCCAGACGGACTGCGAGCGGGAGCCCCGCGACTGCATCAGGTAGGCGGAGAGGAGGCTGAATGCGGATCCTTGGATTGGGACAAGCCCCCTTTCTTCCCTCCGTGGGGAAGGAACATGGGACTTGTAGTCCAGAAAGTGCTGGTGCTCCCTGTCCCCGAAGGCTGGAATTTGGGAACTTCTTCCTCTTTGGAGAGTCGCAGCGGAGTCTCCTCCCACTGGAGGTAGAATAGAATAGAACTAACAGTTGGAAGGGACCTTGGAGGTCATATAGTCCAACCCCCTGCTTAGGCAGGAAACCCTATACCACTTAAGACAAATAGTTATTCAACCTCTTCTTTAAAACTTCCAGTGTTGGAGCATTTACAACTTCTGGAGGCAAGTTGTTCCACTGATTAATTGTTCCGTCAGGAAATTTCTCCTTAGTTCTAAGTTGCTTCTCTCCTCGATTAGTTTCCACCCATTGCTTCTTGTTCTACCCTCAGGTGCTTTGGAGAATAGTTTGACTCCCTCTTCTTTGTGGCAACCCCTGAGATATTGGAACACTGCTATCCCCTACTCCTTCTTTTCATTAAACTAGACATACCCAGTTCATGTAACTGTTCTTTGTATGTTTTAGCCTCCTGTCCCCTAATCATTTTTGTTGCTCTTCTCTGAACTCTTAAGGTCGCCTTGGAAAGAGTGGCAGCCAGCCAGCCAGCTAGCCCACTTTTGACTTCCCATCTCTGCCTTCCCAAACCCCAAGTCAGAGAAGCCACCCCAAAGCGTCCTGCTCTTTGCTGAACGTGGGATTAAAATGTGACACCATCAGCTCCTCTTTAAAAGCTTCTTATGAACTAATAGCAATAGCAGCACTTAAGATTTTATACACCACTTCATAGCCTCTCTCTAAGGAGTAAGTTCAAAGTCAGCATCTTGCTCCCCAACAATCTGGGCCCTCATTTTACTAACTTTGCAAGGATAGAAGGCTGAGTCAGCCAGTCCAGATGGAACTGCTGGCAGTCAGCAGA